CTGAATTAAATTATCTCCATGTCCATTGCCCATCAAGAGGAAGGCCAGGAGGTAAACACTTCTTGGTGTTCTGTGAGCCTGGTTGTTGTTCGCAGATGTTTCACTACCGACTAGGTAACACTTTCAAACATCAAACGCTTCAGAAAGCATGCAAATGGGAGAAATTTGCATGTAGGCAAGCCTCCACCAAGGACATAAACAGGGAGAAAATCCCACATTCACTAGCACTGATGATGTTACCTAGTTGGGTAATGAAACATTAGCAAGCAGACCACCAAGCTCAGAGAGCACCAAGGACTCCACAGTTCAACCCTGAGTTACACGTCTTCTCTTAAGTAGAGAAGAGTAGCTACTTAAGCACTAATTAAACTGCTACTTAAGCACTACTTAAACTGCTGAGGATCTCTGAAATTTGCCATCAGCCTGTCAAAGTAAGTTTCCCAAGTTCCTCTTTTCTGCAGGACTTAATCTCGACTTTGGACCAGGCGGAATCAAAACCAGGCAGAGAAGACAAGCAGCTGCTGAAAAAAACCAGGTCCCTGTAGAAGAAGCTCAGTGAAAGAGAGAGGATGTGATTCCCACAGCTTCAGACAGGTAATTTTGGAGTCTGACCCAGGACACCACATCTTCTTGGGGGCTGTGTTTATCACAGCACCACAATAGCCCTGTCTCTGTCTCTGTTGTTTCTGGATATGTTAGGTCAGTGCTTCTCAACCTTAGCAACTTTAAGCTGCGTGGACTTCAACTCCCAGAATTTCCCAGCCAGCAAGGCTGGCTGGGGAATTCTGGGAGTTGAAGTCCACACAGCTTAAAGTTGCTGAGGTTGAGAAACACTGTGTTAGATGATCAAACTGGAGGAATGGGGTTTGGCTTGCTTTTGAGAGATGGATAAGTCCACACAGCTTAAAGTTGCTGAGGTTGAGAAACACTGTGTTAGATGATCAAACTGGAGGAATGGGGTTTGGCTTGCTTTTGAGAGATGGATAAGTCCACACAGCTTAAAGTTGCTGAGGTTGAGAAACACTGTGTTAGATGATCAAACTGGAGGAATGGGGTTTGGCTTGCTTTTGAGAGATGGATTCTCCCTGATCACCTCTTTTTGGTTTTATCTCTGGTGGCATCTAGGATCGTTGCATCCAAGCTTAGGCATATTTCATCTTGGATCTGAAAATAGTTTGACTGCTCCTAGGTCTGCCTTCTACTGTTAGTGCCTTTGTGGAGAGGAGTTTGGTGGCATCACATATGCCTTGTTAGCAAAATGACTGTGATTTCTTGTGGACCATTTTCATTCCAAAAGGAGCAGAATTGGGAATGGCTTCTGCCAGAGAACTTGGAGAACTCATATCAATCCAAATATTTTCCATCCCTTCATATCTTAGGCCATACCTTTTTTTCAAAGGAAGGTCCTAACAGGTGAACATTGTCAAAGCATCAGAGCAGAGGCTGGATGGCCGATGGTGAAGAACTAGAGGAACAGTTGTCTAAAATCAAATAAATCACTGAATGCTTCAGTTGGACTCAATGGTCATTGAATCCAATCCCTGCGATGCAAGAAATTTGCTACTCCAGAATTCCTAATGACCATCCAATCTCTTATTTGAAAACTTTATTTATTTATCATATTTATTTATTTATCATATTTATATAGCCACCCATCCCACACAAGGTGACTCTGGGTGGCGTACAACAATTAAAAAAAATACATAAAAACAATTGCACATAAAAATCTGTAAAAACACACAATATTTATTTCTTTATCTTATTTATATAGCCGCCCCTTTAGGAGAGACTGCTGTTTTCCAAGCAGCCTGTTCCACCATGAGCAAAAATATTGCCGGCTACTGTAAAATACAGAAGTATTTTGGGTGATTTAGGGAGGAGTGACACCTCATTCTTCCTTTCTTCTTTTAGCAATGTCTGGTTATTCCCCCCACCCCAGATCATATGGGGAGGGGAGGGGTGATTTATGGTAGAAGGGAAGACAACTTGGACATGTTTAAATATGAGACATGAGCTCCAACTTAAATCTGAATCAATTTAGAAAGAATTTGAGATATTTTTAAATGTATTAAAGAAAACAGATTGGCTTGTTCCTAAGTAAGTACAACATGCGTTTGTTAAAGTCCATTCATCATAGAATTGTTGGAATTCCAGCCTCTAGTGATAAATTATGGGAATTGAAATCCAACACATCTGACAGCATCTCATAGGGAAGGCTTGGAGAAAACAATATATATTTTCTCTATATAACAGGCTTTTCAATGTCTATCAAAGAGGGTGGTAGAAAAACCGGTAACCTTAGTGCATCAAAGGGTGAATAGCAAGAGGATCAAAAAAATCTCTGTCCTAAAGAACTTAGGGACCACTTTGGTTTTTACCAAATACATATATATGATTCTCAGTCTTCTTTTGCCAAGTTACTGAAAAAGAAAAGATATTAGATTACAGTAGTCTTGTCTACTGAATACATCTACTTTAGCACTTCTGGAGATTTCCAGAGCAGGAGGGTCAAATAACATTAATTCTTTAATTCTCCCTTTCCAGGATTTTTTACTAGAGAAGGACCATCTGATTTTCTTACTCCTCCTACTCTGTAAGGTTCCATTACATCATGAAGGTTAATCTCACTGCCCCGGGTCTTTCCAATGCATCTTTGCCATCATCCTTGGAAAACAGCTCTGATATAAATAGGCTCAGAGTCATGCTTCAGATCTTCTTCTATGGGGTTATTTTTCTACTTGGTTCCCTTGGCAATGGAGCTGTGATCTGGATCACAGTCCGCCAGATTTCACGGACCATCAGCTGTGTCTGGTTCTTCAACTTAGCTCTGGCTGACCTTTTCTTCTCCATGAGCCGTATAGCACCTCTTATAAATGCTGCTGTGTATGAAGGTTGGGCCTCTGGAACCTTTGCCTGCAAAGCCAACGGCTTCATTAAATATCTCAACATGTTCTGCAGTGTCTTCCTCTTAGCTGCCATCAGCATGGACCGGGCAGCTTGTATAGCTTACCCAATGTGGTCCAGAAAGCACCGTAACACTCGCTTGGCATGGCTAGGTGCCATTGGAGCTTGGTTCATGGCCGTTGTCACAAGCGTCCCTTTCTACATTTACCGTAATGTGGACACTAGGAACAACCAAACCAAATGCTTGGTTATGCTACAGGAAGATGGGCCAGTCATAAAAGTGACTATCTATACATTGAGATTGATATGTGGGTTCTTGGCCCCCTTCACCATCATTGTGATCTGCTACAGCATCATCATTATGGTGCTGAGAAGACGACAGACTTCCCTCCGCTCGAAGGCCTTCAAGGTCATACTGGCTCTTGTGGTGACCTTCTTCTTCTGTTGGGCACCATATCACATCATATACCTCCTTAGGTTGGCAGGAATGTCTGGCACAGACCTCTCTTTGATTCATCTTTTTGCTGCCTTCCTGGCCTACCTCAACAGTTGTGCAAATCCTGTCCTTTACTTCTTCATGGGCATGGACTTCCACAAAAAGCTGACTTTTTATAACATCACCAGGGCACTCAAGAAAATCTTGCTTGAAGACGAGTTCGTAATTCGAAAATCCAGTGGTAACAATACCGAACTGTCTTCCATCCATGAACAGGCAAAATCCTCAGAAGTCTATCAGATGCACTGTGGAAACTCAAAACCTTAAACATGAAGTATTATATTGCCAGTGAAATTTGAATTTGTGTATTTCAGTTGTTGTTTCTGTCCCACCCCCAGACCACCCCACCCTTATATTTTCTGGATATTTTGAAGTTACAAATACTTGTAGGTGAGATGGGCTGACAGAAAGCAGCCTTATCTCCTGTCATGAGCTACAAAACATTGGTCTAATTGTTTTGCATTAGTTAAACAGGGTATATGAAATCTGTGCATCCATATTACCTCTTAGTCACATCTGAACATTTGTTTCTTTGGAGATTTTTTTCATCAGCAGCCTTATCTTGGGCGATCTCCAATTTTAGCCAAACCACAGGCCACCATGTAACCATCTAAAAACAATAGCTGGGGACATACAGTGGTACCTCGGTTCACGAACTTAATTGATTCCATGATTCTGGTTGCAAACCGAATTGGTCACGAACCGAATCAAATTTCCTCATAAGGTTCAATGTAAATACGGTTAATCCGTTCTGACCCCTACGAATGTGGTCGCCAACC